TGGCCGCGCCCGGCACGCTGGGCAACTCGGAGCGCAGCTCCATGTCGGGACCTGGCGTGGGAGACCGTGGGAAGGGGAGAGACTTGCGGTGAGGAGCGCGCGGTGAGCGACGCTAAAGCGCGGCCTGGAGACGCCCAGGCTTACAGAGGGAAGTTTCAGCCGCAGAGGTTTGGCTACTGTTCGTCCAGTCGCTGGGAGGAGGTGCCTTTGGAGCCCCTTTGTAAGGCCGAGCTCCCCCCACCCCACTCCTACCAGAGCTCTTCTTATATCTGATTTATGCGCTGGGTGTAAGATTTCGTCTGAATCAGTGGTTCTGCTGGAAAAAATAAAAACATAAAGTTTGAAAGTCACTGGTTCAGGTGGATGTAAGGAGAATTTGGAAAATAAAATAGTATTCCCTCAAAGTTTAGCTTCACTGGGGTGACACCGGATAGAGAGAAATGTTTGTTTGATGGGACTTGTATTAGAGGGAATGTTTTTAACCAACAGATTGATGCCAAGAAAAACCAGAAACATCCGAGGTGAAATGTCCAGTGTTGTGAGAGAGGGAGAGTTCAGCTGGTTGGGCTGGAGGTGTTTTTTGTTTTGTTTTGCTGGTGGTAGCAGGAGAGTTCACGAGAAAAATCCGGAACAGAAATAATAGCTCTAGGAAGTGGAGTGAGGGTTAGGAAATAACTCAGGGACAGAGTTAGGCCCAGAGACCCGTGGAAATGTGGGAGCTACAAGTTCCGTGGTGCGGGCCTCCGAAGAGTGGGAGAGAAAGCGGGTAGGGGGCCGAGCTTAGGAGGCTGCGGTGGAGGGTTAAAGAGAAAATTCAGCTGAAGAGACTTTGGATAGGCGAGCCCAGCCCAAAGATTACCTAGCTTGAGGGTCGCCAAAAACAGCTGACATGCGTGTCTGGGTCCCAGGGTTCATGCGGCGGAGATGGGTGTGTTTGAGGGGGAAAAACCCGCAAGCACAGATAGGCTGGAGTGGGAATGGAGTAAAACCTGTGGCACAGTTACAGTCTGGAGGAGCGGTCGGGGACGGAAAAGTATCCCGCACAAGTTAGGTATCGCAGGAGGGGGATCCTGCCCACCGCGCACCGCCTTCTCCCAGGTCGGGCCCGAGTCGTCAGACACGCCCTCCCTGTCCTGGGGCCTCCGGGGACCCCGCTCCCACGCAGGTTCCCGCATTCTGGTCTCAGAGCTGGGTTCCTGGGATGGGGGTGGCTCAGCACGCGGCACCGAGGCAGGGGAGGGGCCCCTGGAAGTGGCTCAGCGAGAACGCAGGAGTCCCTCCTGCGCCGGGGCCCCCGGAGGCCCGAGCAGGCCCAGCTCCGCGCTTCCCGCACGGCTTCCTCCGCGCCCCCGGGTCCCCGCGAGAGCCCCAGGCGTCCGACCATCGTAGACCCCTCCCCCCTCCACGCGCGCAGCCTCTCTCCAGGCCCCTGGAGCCGCACAGTCCCTCAGGCCGGCGTGGCCCGGGCCTGGTCCACAGGGCCCGCAGGCCGGGCCGCCTCCCCTGCTCTCCCTGCGGTCCTCGACTACCTGCCTTGGGCTCGAGGATCCTCCGGCTCCGCTGGCGCCGCACGGGCCTCCCAGCTCAGCTCGCGACGCGGGCGCTCCTGGCCTCTTCTCTCGGCCCCCTGGCTCCTTATCTGACCACGTCACCCGCCTTCGGTAACCATGTCCGAACTTCCGGACCCCTCGAACGCCGCTTAGTCCAACCCTTCCGTCGGAAATTGGAGCCTGGGGACCGTTTAGGGACCGGCTGCCCGGAACCCGCGCCCCGGCCCTAGCGCCCGCGTCCCCTCGCGGAGCGCGCCCGACGCTGCGCACGGCGGGCCCAGTCCCGGGCGCTGCAGACTCGCACTGAGCCGCTCGCCCGCTCTATTGTTGCTCCTTAGGGCTCCATTAGACAGAATTGGACAACAATGTGGCGCCTGCCATTGGCCAGGGGAGGCAGACGGCGCTCTGATTGGCCGGACCCGCGCCCGGGGAGCCCCGCGTCCTACAGTGTCCGAAAGATTCGAAACTCCGAAGGCTCCTCCGAGCGCCTCCGCGAGGGGAGGGGGCGCGCCGCGGACGGAGTGGAAAAAAGTGGGCGAGAAAAGGAGCGTTAAAAATATCGTGACAAGTAGTTTCCGTGCGCTGGAGAGCGTGTGAATTGCGCCTAATTACCGTGTCCGGTGGCGCCTCCACGTAGACCCGTGTAACCCCTCAGCTTCTGGGGAGCGGGCTCCGCTGCGCAGCTCTCACTGGCCCCGGGCGCTTGGCAAGACCGACTTTCCCTAGTGGCCCCGGCGGCCCGGGGCGAGATGGGGGCAGGTGACAATTCAATTACTGTGGTCGGGGTGGGGGGTGAAGCGGGGGTGGAGAAGGGAGGGTTTCTGTGGCGATGCTCCGACGATTTCTCCGCTTCCCTCCGGCTGTTTCGGCTCCCAGGTCCGGAGCATTCGGGATAGTCAGGAGCTTGTTTTGATTTTTCTACCGCCGCCTTTAAAACGCAAATTATTTTTAAAAGTTCTGATATGATAAGGCATCGCGGAGGGTGAGTGTGGTTAATAAGGATTTTTGTTTCTCAAGTGGAGCCTGGAGAGAAGAAATGAGGTCGCGCTGCCTGCCCGCGCCCCGCGCGTCCCCTCCGTGCCCCTCCCTCGCTCCCTCCCTCTGCCCGCTCTGGCTCTTCCCTTTCCTCGCTTCTGCAGCATCTCCACTTCTTTCCCAGGGTGGTGGGATCATCTCTGTCGTTGTTTTAAATTAACAAATAGTTTACATTTTCTTTTTTTAAACGAAAGTAAAAAGTGGCCTCCCTGTATCCCCCAGATCCTCTCGGAAGCAGAACGCGCACCCGTCAGTCCGTCCTTTGGGCCAGAGGCGAGGTCGCCGCAGCCCCAGGAGTAGTTTTAACTTTCGCGTCCGTCTCCCGTCCTGACGTCACGGCCCCGGGACACAGCTGGGTCTGCAGAGGAGGTAACAGGTTTCGCACTTTGTTTCCCTTTTGAATGGCAACATCTGGAATTAATGCTGCGGTCCTCGGGCGAGATCTCCTGGGGTTTCTCTGTCTGTGGTTCTCGGTGCTTTTTCTCTCTCTTCTTCGTTCTAATTTCTCCCACTCTCGCTTTTATTTACTTTTCTCTTTCGTTCAGAGGAATGAAAATTCGTTTAATTAACGAGACAAACGCGCTTCCCCATGGTTCTCCCTCCACTGCAGACCGTGCGTTTCTGCGTCGTTCTTTCGAACTCCCAGGGCCGCCGGGTTCTGGCCTGGACCTGCCGGGGCGTGCACGGACCGGGCCTGCAGACAGCCCCGGGGCCCCAGGACGCGGCCGCTCCC